TTACAACAATAATTATTAATACAGTCGAACCTCCCGTAAGTGGACACCCTTGGGACCAGAAAAAGGAGGTTAAAAATGTAGTGTTTGTATGTAGCTGGGAACATGACCAAGTGTCCGCTTACGAGAGTTGTCCACCTACGGGAGGTGTCCCTTAGAGGAGGTTTGACTGTACTTCTAAAAATGTCAGCCATTTAACTCATGAATTGCTGTTCTTTTCAGCCGACCACCTTGTCCCTAAACCAACACTCATAGCTCAAGTGGCCCTCAACCGCACAGGTTACCAAACTGATGTCCCTGATGAAGTGTTCACCACTGTAGCTGATCCATGGGGCCAAGCTGCATGTACTACCACCACCTGGAGTTCATCCAATGCAGGTGCCAGGTCTTGCAGTGTTCCAGGCGATGGAGGATCTACAAGTACTTTGGACGATGATTTCGATGACTGGGCAAAAATGATCAATGCTGAGTTGACAGAGTTAGATAAAGATATTGTCAAGTATGTGGCAACAGGAAGTGAGATACCTCAGCTGCCCAATCAGCTGCCCGATCAGCTTCCCGACACAAGCCTTGAAGTTCTTCTTAACAGTGAGTGCTTTGATGGATTGCAGTCAAATGGCACCATCCAAAGTTTGGTTGCACCCAAAATTGAAGAAATTCCCATGGACAGCAGCAAGGATTATCCTATATCCTCTCTAGCTCCTGTTGATGCTCAAAATATGCTTCCCCGCAATATAACCTCTAGACCATTTGGAAACTTATCTGTGGATAACTTTGTTGGTGACACCAAACCAAGCTTGATTCCCATGGATCAAGGAGGTGACTTGTCTGGCTCAAAGCTACGGGGGATCAGCAACCCATGCATGTTTGGCAATGGACATTCCACTGGTGAGCCGAGAAATTTCCAGCAGAATGCACCTGTTCTGACTCATTTGAACACTGTTGCCGCTCCTAATACATCTGTCATGAACATACCTCAGCAGTCTCAAGGTCTTCACACCGCTAGAGACCCTAACACCATGATAACATCACAAAGTAGAAATTTTGGAAGGATCCCGCAAATGCCAAGGAGTGCTGATATGGCATCAACTGGCAGTGGAAGCTTTAGAGTTCCAGCCGCTGTTCCAGATATGACATCAACCGGCGGTGCAAACTTTAGAGTTCCAGCCACTGTCCCTCAAATGCCAAAGCAGAATGATCTACAGTCTCGATTCATACAAGAACTCAAAGAACTCCTTCCTCAAGATTTGTGCTACACAGACGAAATGGTGGTTGACTTGGTTGATGATATGATGGTAGATGCAGATGCAGATGCAGCTCAAAGGGTCGACAATGACATCAAACTTGCAACAATTCTGCAGCAAGCAGGCTTTGCGCAAATAGAGGGACCACCTGTTATCAAACAGGAAGTGGTGACGCCCACATTACCACAGCCATCCAGTTCATTTCCTAGCTTCTCTGACACCATGGCAACCCAGAGTAGTCAACCTCGAGTGATAAGTTGTTCAACGACACCATTTACTTCTACTGACACCTTCAGCCGGTTTCCAGCACACCAAACCACATTTGCCCCGGCTCCACCTAGAAGACCACAAAATGGAACTGTTCACAATCAAGGCTCTCCTATGAGGTTCCCAAATGGTAATTCTCAGTTTGTGAGTCAAGAGGACAGTAACAGGAACTTTCTGAACACTTTGTCAAATGCAGGAATAACCAGTACCCAAACTGGAGCTGCCTTGGCAAGTACCAATCAGTGGAACTCGAACGCACCTTCAAAGCAGAATGCTATGGAACAAGGATTAAGAAACTTGCTGCAAAACACAAACAGCGCGCCACCAAAGCAAACGACAAACTTTAATTCTCAAATTAACTCTGGCTTACTATCGCAGCAGCCAAACATGCCTTTCATGCCTCAGCAAAACGTCAGCAACATGGTACCACAGAGTGGTCCCAGAAATACTCAAAATAATATGTTTAACATGACAGTAGTTCCAAACATGAACCAGCTGAATTTCCAGGAACTGAGCCAAGTGAATTCCCTGCTCCAGTCATCTCCTATGCAAGCTTCGAGCTTTCAGAACCTCAATGGCACAAACATGTCAATAAACAATCCACATTATACCAAGTTTGATATGAACAGAAAGCTGTGACTAGCAATGTGGCCTGTCTCCCAAAGCCAGTTTTGAACAAGTTAGTAACTTAAGTAGGCATTTGCATTTACTTTTGCATTTGCTTTCAAGTGTAAACTAGTGAAACATCACATCATATTACTTGCTTCTCATTTCATTTGTGATTATTGTACAAACATTCATGCATAGTTTAGATTCCTTTCTATGCAAAGTGCATTTGGTTCATTGCATTATTTTTTAAATGTATATAATAAAATTAAAAGTTAGTTGATATTGTTTTCATTAGCAACTTAGAAAGTGTCAAAAATATAGAATCTAGAACACTGAATTTTAATTGTTTCACGGGTATCATGTAGAAATGAAATGTTCTCTTTTACCTTTGTATATATAGTTTGTTATGATAATTATTTGCAGTTTTTAGCTACTAAGAGTGAAAAAAAAAAAAATAGAAACTCAATAGTCACTTATGAGGCACAAAATTGTATAGATAGAAAGTGTAACTTATGTAGCAATGCAAGGCGAAGTGAATATTGGGGAATATTCACCAATATTCACGAGCCTGAGGCGAATAATTGTTTTATAATATACAAATTGCAGGGAAAATGTCGAATTTCTCCGAAGAAACTGGAAAAATAAGAAAATATTCCGCCATTTTTTCCCCGAGACAAAAACATTTGAACTTCGCGGCATTTCCAAATAAGGTAGAGAGGGTATAATGCCTCTGAGACCATGAGTAGGGAACCAATCAAATTGCTTGAAAATGCATTATCCCATGGTTAGTATATTATAATTTTAATTATACCCTAATACTGTACCTTGTATGGTTTGGTGGACTAGCTTCAGCAGACTGTTTCTTGTGTTTTTGAACGTTTGTATAAGTGTTTCATTATAATTATATCACAATTTTTGTTGCTGTCAGGTGACGTTTCTGCAAGTGTTATGTAAGGGGTTGACATACCTCATAGAGATATACTTTTTTTGCCTGCTTTACTCTAGAGATATACTGTATTTTAGTGATTTGGAATCATTTGGATGCCTACTTTTAAAATCCTGGCTTAGAAGGCTGCATTTTGATTTACACTGTCGTCTAACATATGGCTGCATTCAATTTAAACCAAAAGCTCGTACAACCGTCGTATGTGATTTGTCAACAAAAGCTTATTATTGTATTGGGATGTTTCAACTATTCATTTGTATTATGTCGATTTTGGTCAAACCAACACTACTGTTATGGTCAATAATTTATGCATATACATTGTATCACTGGCTTCCCCCTGGGCCCGGGCCAGGGAATGCAGGGGGATTGCATGGAATCTTCACCCCTGGGTAGGGGAAAATTTAAGACTGTTAGATGTTTGAAGGATAGGAGAAGGGGAATTTGCGAGATTGTAATTGATGTTTAGGGGAGGGGGGTTGTCTGTGAAGAAAAACTAGGGAGACTTTGCATCAAAGTTTCCACTTGGAGAAAATCATTAAGGTTGCTTGACGTTTTTGGGGTCGACCCCAGAGGGAAGCCGGTGATATGTGAATTGCCAATACCCGTTTTGTTATATTTGCATGTAATCTATAGTAACAAGCTTTGCCTAAGGCTTTTCACTCCCATATTAAATAATGTTCGTTGATGGGTTAGATGAAACGCTATGTACAGGATTTTTACCTTGTTTTCTTAGGCTAAGAGCGACAAAGTTTGACATCACAATTTTTAGAGCATTTTTCTCCAAACCTCAAAACATACCATGACAGAGTTTGCTGTTGTATGAACTGATAGAAGGTGTTACAGATGTACAGAGATTGGCATTGTTCCATACAGACTTCTCTTAAAAGAACCACATTATGAAGTGAAATTGTGAAGTCATACTCATTGCTTGTATACTCCAAACAGTAGCTCTTACTGCAGTTAAGCCAACAAGCAAGGGTTGTTCTTTTGTGTAAAAAAAAGAGACATTCAAATGAAACACGTGGATCGCAATATTGTTGGTCATTTCACACCCAGACCACTTAAGCTGAAATAAGTACTGATGTTCCCAAGAGAAAAGTCTGAGAGTATTAGACATCTGAATAGTTAGTCATGTCATATCTCCCACATAAAATAGGGTCAGCCAGGGGTTTTGGGTATACATATACAGAAGGTTATTAAATCGGGTATACAGCATTTTGTGAGCATTTCGTATATTTTGAACATTGCTCACTAGATATCAAGCTGAAAGTGTAAAATTCCTTTTGTTTACCCGTCATCTAGGGCATCTGTTCACTTCAGTGGTGTTGTAAGTTTGGGTGTTCTTGGTAATTTTTTATATTAATTTGTATACCACAACCCCCCTGGCTGACTGATGAAAGACAACATGCAAACGCTTGAAGCTGCTCTGCTTGAAATATTATGATGCCAGCATAATTATTGATAATGAAAAGCTCTTAGCAAGTAAGCTTTATTTTCGTAAAATAATTAGCATTAATGAAGAATAGAAACAAATAGTCAAAGACTATTGTTGTAGGAAGGACTTTTCACAAAGTGAACCTCACAATATTATTGTCAAAATGTATGTTAAATCTACTGAATTGCATATTTACTCAACAGTGAGGTTGTAAATAGCTTAGAATCTCTGCAGCCATTTGTAAGACTTGATGGAGCCATTGCTTCATCAATTTTATATTGTTTGTCTTTTTGGGGGGTGGACCATATAGCTCCCCTCTAGTGTTTTAAGCATACTCTCTAATACATTTGTAAAGTCAATTCCATTGGTGGTAATTATAATCTGCCTGCCTAATCTAGACTACTTCAATTATCCTTTTAGATCTTAAGGGATAGACCTCCAATGACTTTGTAAATCGTTTAGCTCATATTTACCACACTATACTGAACAAAGCGTGGGAGATGTTGTGGACCAGTGGTTAGCGCGTTGGACTCCGGATCGAGCGGTCCGGGTTTGAGCCCTGGCTGGGGTTATTGTGTTGTGTTCTTGGGCAAGACAGTTTACTCTCAAAGTGCCTCTCTCCATCCAGGAGTATAAATGGGTACCGGCGAACTGTTAGGGAAACCTGACAAATTGCTGGGGGTAACTTGCAATGGACTTGCATCCATCTAGGGGGAGTAACAATACTCCTAGTCGGCTTTCCCTTTCATGCTATGGAATCTGGGATAAGCTCTGGCAGTGTTGACCCAAGTGTGACCTTACCTTACTAAGGCGCGGACGCACAGCGAGCGCGGAGGAACCTGGGAAGTATCTCCATATGCAAGATGGCGAAGTGAAATTGAAAAATCTTCTCCTAACGGCCACCAAGCTGGTAACTTTATAACTGATATACTTATCAAAGCTGGGATAGACATCCAGGCTATTTCTATATTTAATTGTGAGAATTTTTGGATTTGTAAATACTGGTTACCAGGAAACTTGCCAAATAGTATTGATAAAACAGTAACTTCTCTTTACGTCTCTCTAACAAATTGCAGTAAGAAGGTCATAGGAGTTGAGAACCTGATCATGTGAGAATTTTTGCCCACCTACCCCTCCCGCGGTAAAATTGATTGTATCCTCCATAGATTTTCCGGTCAGTGAGAACAGTACTGATGGAATTGACTTTAATATATAAACCAGTGTTATAATCCAATTCGTACAATATTATTCGTGGGAAAAGGTGCATTTCCCTAAAGATCATTGCTGTATGAGCAATAAACTGTAAAGACATTAAATGCGAGTGTTGTTGTCTGTCTCTTGTTCAAAATATTAATTCCTTACTGATTTGTATGCATTTATTGTAATGTCAGTTTTGAGAATTTAGTGCCAGGGTTGTCACAGGTCAGGGAACGTTTTAACTCGTGAATGCGTAGCAATGAACGGGTTATAACATTGGTGGACAAACTTCACTCTGTCAGATGCAAAACCAATCGCGACTTGGTCGCACACGTTTTTCCCGCGCTCGGCGCAGGTTATATGTGGGTTTACTTCAAGTTCTCATTGGTTCATTATTGTCTTCTTTACGTGTGCTGTGATTGGCTCCTGTGATTGCTTCGGTTTTGGTTTTACGACGGCCGTTAATAGTGGAGGTTCCAATATATAAAACTGAGGCTGCGTTTTCACGGACGCGGTTTCAAATCGACACGGCGACATGATTGCGAAAGCGTATCCAAAAGAACTCGGTTTCAAAACGTTTAGCGGAAATAAGTGTTCTTACGTACGTCATGGCCGTTACATATTTTGGTGTTACATAATATGGCGAAACGAGCTGTAGCCTTGTCGCTGTAGCCTGTTCCAGGCGTTCGGATAGTGGGGGACGGCGACGCGAGAAGACGCGCGAAGCGCGAAGAGTTCGCGCCCTCTCCCCAACCCTCTCGCCTTTTTTTTTCCTCGCCGTTCTTCGCGCTTCGCGCGTCTTTTCGCGTCGCTCCCCACTATCCGAACGCCTGGAACAGGCTAAACGAGCTGAAGAGAAGCTACACCGCAAAATAAAGTCGAGTCGTGACGGAAAAAGCAAGCACTGTACTTCTATGTGCGTCCACCATTTTGATCAGTGGATATTTTTCCCGTCATGATTCGCGCAAAACGATGCAACCCCCCCCCCCCCCCCCCCCCCCCCCTCCTGGGTTGTGGGGTGGTACAACCTTGCGAGTCTGTCCTAAACAGGATATGATTGTCGTCGTTAAATATGGTTTATTCGGCCTAGCAATCCGAGATTGGAGACGTTTGCCGGTCTTTAGCAGGTTAACAATCAACATCAGATCATTTTCAGGACACGATAGTAATGCTATTGTATAAAACAAGAGAATGTGTATCTGGAGCATATTGTCCTTTATAGGGTCCTAAACTAGAGGGTGTTGTCCTACACAGGAGACATTTATCCCAACCGTACAGTCAGCCTTTCTTCATTGTATTTTCATTCTTTAAATTTGCTGATTAGATCCACCAGGATCCGGTACCTTTGCATTGTCCGTTGGCCCTTTCAGATTTTTTACAAGGTATTTTAGGCATTTTTGTCCTAAACGGCCCGTCCTAAACAGGGTCAGGGTTTCAAACCCTCAGCGGCACCCTTATATCCCCCCCCCCCGCCCCGGGGCGGGGGGGGAGGGGGGGGGGGAGGGGTCCGTGTAAACGGGTTCTGACTCACATACCTTTTGACTTCTTTGTTCGGCTAGAGGTCTGGGCTCGTGTAAGGAATTCCCGCCTTTTTTGCGGTAGACGCGGAGTCCCATCTCGATGTGGAAGATGGCGGCCATTTTCTCGAACTGATTTTCATCGGCTGTGTTAAAAGTTGAATATTGAGAGTTTCAGGATACAGTCGGAACGTAACTAAAGGATAAAAGGATGGATAAACTTCTTAGATATCACAACTGGTAAGTTGCTATTCTATCTACTGTAGACTATCAGAGATATAAGCCTTATAAACTTAAGTTTACTTCGATGAACTGGAAATCAGTAGTGTTGCAGAATGAAGCTAAATCCTGACTGCTACTGAAGACATAACGAAATCAAGGTTATCAGAGCGTTTTAGGTATCCACCGTACAATGCTAGATTAACAAACTTTAAATAATTTGAACAGTTTTAAAAACGTCCGCCGGAACATTCACGCCGACTCGACTGTCAGAGCCTTGTAAAAATACATGTAGTTTAAACGCGACAGTATATATGCTACCCAACACAGCTACATCCTTCAAACATTTGAGCATTTTAACTTTTAACACTGATAACGAGGTTTCAGTTTTGCTGTATAAATTGATAGCTTGTTGCAAATGATTTATGAGCTGTTTTTAAAATTTTCGAAAGCGTACAGGACAATGCCGAAATTTACTGCTTAGGGCCTTGCTTAGACTTTGCTTTCTAATGGCGTCTGGGGATGAGGTAACGAGTTGGCAGAGACAAGAGCACCCTTTCAATTGTGATATATAGGGCGGAAAAAAATGGAGCTACAACGGTAATCGGGAAGCACGCAAAACCGCGCATCCATCCCACAACTCCAAGCGAACCGCGCACGCCCGGCAGTGACAAGCTCTATACTTAGCTAAACTGTACTCTTTTTAATTCTAATAACATATGACATCAGTCCAAACTTCAGTAGAAGTGTAAACATGTCTACTTTATTATAGATTACAACAACTTATTAGCATAAAAATTTACATAGCATTCTTTGTCAATCGATTCTTAAACTTTCGACTTTTTCGATTCCTAAAGTGACAGTTCAAAAACATTGTTCTGTAGCATCATGACACCACAACTAGAACTGAGCCAAAATCAAAACGGCTGTAGTTACTTCTGCCTAAATATTAACACCAAACTTTCTTATTAACGCCCCTCTTTTATTTTGCGATAAACGCCAACTATATATCGCCAGCTATCTTGGCATGTTCTTTGACGTTTTTTTCTATAGCTACTTGTTCGGCTAGGAAATTTAATAAACGCTTGGGTTCTATTTAAATTAACGCCAAGTATCTATTCAGTGAACGCTCCTCCTTCCTACCCCACCCCCCCCCCCCCCCCCACCACCCCAAAAAAACAACAACAACAACAACAACAAATAATTTAGATCAATTATACTAACTATGTTGAAAATCAAATTGTCTAAAGTAATCTCCACTTTGCAGAAAACAAATATATGGCTTCAGTAATGCATGAAACATACAAAGATGTGTAAAAGCATTGATCAAGTCTAAGCTTTTCCTCCATGTTACTCATCTGTAATTCAATCATCTTTCGCTGGCAAAGATGCTCGACTTGTTCGTACAGCTCATGACTCTTCAGCTCCTCAATGCTTAGTTTCTGCGTTTTGTTAATGCATTCAGTTTTCACTCTTTCCAAGGAGTACGTCTGGGCAACAATTAAGGTCTCCAAAACTGGGCCGATTTCGGTCTTCTTTTCCATCTTTCGCAGCAGATAATCTTCACATCTCTCTGTGAGTATGGTCATCTGATATTCCCGAGCAAGAGGCAACAAGAAATGCAGATTGATGTCGTTTATTCGTTTACAAAGCCTCGGGTAGATCACCAACAACATCTCTTGTATTTCAACAGCCTTCTTCTCGGGAAGACGAATCTCGTCTGCGTCTTTCTCTTTGAAATCTGCCGAGAACATTCGGGAGAAAACAGGCGAGCTCATCTCCAGTATGACACGATGAACATGGAATTGCTGTTCTTCCACGAGCAGAACCACGTCGCTACGATCCCATGGCGTTGAAAAGTCTTGATCGAGTCCCTGAGCTGCTTGATCTTTCTGCATTTTGATTAAAATACAGTACTTGCAAAAACCGTAGATTGTGAAGTAACAATCACAACAAACATTCTTTGCCAGAACGAAAAGATGTGAGCTTCCGGGTTTTCTGGGAAAAAGGACTCGCTCCCAGTCGTTATCATCATTTTTGGTCGAGGATAGCCTGCGAGCAAGCTCTCTTGCTCGCAGGTTGTGTTCTCAGGTGAGCCTGACTTCGCTTCGCAGTACTTCGCCAGTCTTCACCCAGGTGTATAAATGGATATCGTCGAATTTTTGCTGGGTAAACTGGGAGATAACTTGTGATGACCTACGTATCATCCCATCCATAGGGAGTCGCTTCATGCTACGCGTATAAGGCTCGTGAAGCCTTTTACCATTTTTTTTAACCAAAAACGTCATAAATTATATAAATCATACCAGGCACTCATAATCCAGAGCCAGTCCACCCGTTTTCCCGCGCTTTACGCAGGTTAATTCATTGTGTTCTTTACGCGTGTTGTGATTGGCTCCTATGATTGCTTTGGTTTTACGACACATTTTGAAAACCGCTGTAAACATAAAGAGGTGAATTGAATTGAATTGAATAACTTTATTTAAGTGTCAATGGTATTTAGCTAAAAAAACTAATTGGGGACACTACAGTGTCGTTAGTGGAGGTTCCAATATATAAAACACTGAGGCTGGGTTTACACGGACGCGGTTTCAAATCGACAAGGTTACATTAGTATAAATTTCGAAACGTATCCAAA